AATTTACAATAGAAAAATAAAAAAAATGAATAGAATTATAAGCCAATAGAAAAAACATATAAACGTGACAACCCTGGAGTCATAATATATAATGAAGTTTGCAAGGAATATTTTTTTGTTAAGACACGAAAATTGGTTTCATAAGCAGAATTATCATGGATTGAAAATTTTGAAGTTTGTCAATCTTGATTGGCTTGATGACTGTAACCACACCGTGACAATTATACATCTTAACGGTTTAATATTTTTGTTTTAGAATAAATTTTGTAAAGGCCAATATTATATCAGGGAAAACAATATATGCCATTTACTGCACCACTGCCCATTGTTTGAAGTATCGTTTTTGATACATCAAAATATTAGTATAATATTATATACGTACAAATAAATATTTTAATCCTCCGATCACTATATCAAGATCACGGGAGGATTATTATTATAATATATTTTTTATTAATTCAGTACGTACTTATGTGCATCATTAAATTGTTTTTTTTGGCATTTATTGAATGGCCGGCATTTACTATATGTCGTCTTAGCCCCGTATTATATCTCTACAAATTACGTACGTACGTACCTGTTTAGAAAACCTACAACTGGGTGCTATTAAATTATTCGGGTTATCAGGATATATAACTTACTATATCTAACTATATAATAATAGTTCCTACCTGAATATAATCCTTAAATAGTTATAAACATAAAAAAAAAGGATATTTAAATTGTTCATGTTTAAAAGTAACAGGTTCGCATTTTTGTTAGTAAGTTATAATATTAATCTTTGCAAATTTTGTTTCAAGATATTAAACCATTAGGATTGTACAGTGCATCTATTTAAATTTCACAAAAAATTTAATATATATATATATATACATAGTAATATTAAAATATTGTATATTAATAACCCAAATTTCGATTTGTAGTTTAGATAAACTCTAAAATCATGTTTTAGCTCATAGATATATTACAAATTTAAGTTAATTTAAAGATAAACAGTACTTGAAATAAAATGTATAAGGCAATTATTCATGTTCTTATAATTATTGAAAAGTTCTTTATTAAACTCAAATTGCCAGTATATATATCTACTACTTATATTACGTTTCTGGTTTGAGCGTGACTACATCGCGCAGCTACCTAATTTGTAAAAAATCTTTGTAATATTATAAATATAATTATTATACGACAGGGTGAAACCTGAGTCACTAGCTAGTAAAAGTTGCATTAAATCTGAGATTTAAAGTAAAATCTGCAATTATGTTTATATAAACCTGTTTTTTATTAAATAAATTCACTTTTTTAGATTTTTTAGATAAATTTGATTTTTTTTAACTTTTATTAGATTAAATCTACTAACTTATTATACAAAGCTGCCTTTTATTTTACTTAATTATATAAAATCGCTTTTTATTATATGAAATTTAGCTGATATATAAATCAATAAGGATATACAACTTACCCTCATTTTAGTAAACTATAGCTTATATTAAATACTTTACTATATTAAGCTTAAGTCTTTATCAAATCTTTAGAGTTTATTTAGCAACTTACTCTTCTATTTTAAATATAAAAAAAACAAATACTATGTATATAAACCAGAAATAATGCTCACCTTCATGCATATTATTTCAAATAAGGATCAAAAGTATGCTATCGACATCCTAGGTATTTCAAAAAAAAAATAAGGATCAATTTTTTGAATTATTTACTTTTAACATAATGTACATAGTGTATATAATCTAATCAACTAAATTTGCTCAAATAAGAAGATTCAATTATTCAGGTGTGTGAAATTTACTAATATACTATTTAAATAAATATTTATCTTAGTTCCGTATCTTCAATATCTTATTAACTAATAAGAAAAATATTAGAGTGCCAAAAAAAAACCTGTAAATTGGATGAAAAATGGAATAAAAGTTAAAGGATGGATCATATCTATTATATTCGTATCAAGATATTAATTAATTTGTTGTGAATTAATTGTTTATTATGTTTTATATATAAAAATATAAAAGTACTGCTTGAGCAACCTTTATCAATAGTAAATTTTTGAAAGGTGGTTTGTGTCTTGCTGATTTGTTTATCGAAATGATAATGCACTTGGTTAATTTATTCAATTTCTAACTAATTAAAAATTTACTTCTGATCTATTGAGTGAGGTTCTTGAGAACACTCTTAGTTAGTAAATCTAAATTCTATTTCATACATTTTATTTAACTGATGGGTATAATATCAAATACAGTATCTAAAAAAAATTTAAATCAAAAAAAAAATAAATAAATAATTACGTCTTGCTTATTCTATATATATGAATCATTTACTTTATTAATTAATTATATTTTATATTATACGTATGTTAATTTAGGATACCATTTTGAGAATATATAGTATTTTAAAAGATCACACTTCTGAAATAACTTCCATAAGTATTGCATACAAACTTTTATCTTTCAACATAGAAAGATTTAAGCTATTTAAAATACTATTAATTTTTCGTAATTTATTAGCATCTCAAGCTCTGTATTATGAATATAATATAAATTTTTGTAAAGATTGTTTTTGACTATTCAATAAAGGTTTAAATCTTTACATAAATTACAAAATCTATTATGTAGCTATCTCTGTGAAGTGGATGTGCATTTTCTATATACTGTATATTGCTCTTGCATAGTAAATATAATTCATTTTTTTTCTCTTCATATAGCATTGTAAAGACTACAGCGTTACTATGAGAGTCTTTAGATAACATAGTAAATTTGGAAGATTTGATTAATTTATCTGCCTATTATTTATTCATAAACAAATATTATTAAATAAGAAAATATTAAAATAACAATCACATTCATTACCTTTGATTTTTTTTTTAATTGTTCATCATCATATCTGATTATGTTAGCTAATTGATCTTTATCGCCGTTTTCCAATATAACATCTACAATAACCTTACCATCACCAATAATTTCAACAATTTGAATCTTATAGTAAGGCTCATATAGTATTGTGTCTTGAAGTTAGATAAACTCTCCTGACACTAATTTGCTTTTTCTTTTATTCTTGGGTCCTCTTTTTTAAGAAATTTAAGCTCATCTTTGCTATGACCATTAGCATTCTTTTGATGAATATAAGATTCTAGAGAAGTATTTGATGTTGATTTAGATACAACTCTATAAGAAAGTAAAATATATCAAAATAGTGATTAATTTAATGATACATTTATTAATCTAAGTCTATTAATAAGTATAGCTCTATGCATATCATTTGATTGTTCCTTAATTAGGGTATGCCATTTATCATATAATATTTTTTACTTAGTAGCCACCCCATTCATGTATGGTGTGATCACCCCTAGCTTGATTCTGATTGGCCGATTTAATTAACTATTAAAAATTTTTTTAATATATTTCAAATTAAATAACTTTTGATCTACTGGTCCGATTTGGATGATTTAACTGTCAAAATGTTTGTCTTGATGGGACGATTCTAATGAGTCCAAAATCGCTAAAATATAATCACAGGATCCTGAGATCGTTAAGGTTTTTTGTACTATTTCGTATATATAAAATAGTACAAGAAACTTTAACGATCTCAGGATCCTGTGATTGAATTAGAGGTTGGAACCGGTTTTAATAATTCGAGTTTATCACGTGAATTTTGTGATATTTTAGAATTTAATCCAA